ATTGATGATTTTAGTAGAAAATGTTGGATTTATATCTTGAAAGAAAAGTCAGAAGCGCTGGAAAAATTGAGAGAATTCAAAGCAATGTCGGAAAAACAAAGCGGTCAATATTTGAAGATACTCAGATCAGATAGAGGAGGCGAATATACATCAAAGTTATTTGAAGAATTCTGCAAAGAGCATGGCATCATCCATCAGCTGACAGCCAGATACACGCCACAACAAAATGGAGTTGCAGAAAGGAAGAATCGCACAATCCTGGACATGGCGAGAAGCATGATAAAAGGCAAGCAACTACCGAGAAATTTCTGGGCTGAAGCAGTTCGATGTGCAGTTTACCTATTGAACCGATGTCCAACAAAAAGCGTGAAGTATATGACGCCAAACGAAGCATGGAGTGGACAAAAACCAGGAGTTGGACACCTCAAGATTTTTGGATGCATTACATATGCCCACGTTCCAGAACAGACTAGAAAGAAGCTTGATGACAGAGGAGAAAAATGTATTTTCATTGGCTATGATGAAAGGAGCAAAGCTTACAGATTATATAATCCTCTTACAAAGAAGATAATGTCGAGTTCGATGAAGCAGACTATTGGAGATGGAGCAAAGAGGAAAAGAAAGTTGAAGGACTGTTTTTTAAAGATGATGATCTTATCAATCAAGATGAACAAGCTGATGATCAAGGTCCTCAACAAAATGTACCATCGTCGTCAAGCAACAGAAGCGATGCCAGCAACATAATAGAAGATCCTGAAGCATCTCCCACAGAACTTCGAAGATCCACAAGAGAGAGAAAAATACCAGAAAGGTGCAACGATTATGAACTAAATAATGTTTCACTTTTCTGCTTGCTTGTGAACAGTGATCCAATAACATACGAAGAAGCGGTTGAAGATGACAAATGGAGGAATGCAATGGATGAAGAAATTGCATCAATAGAAAAAAATGATACATGGGAACTAACAAGGCAACCAGAAGGCCATAATCCAATTGGAGTAAAATGGGTTTACAAGACAAAGACCAATAAAAAAGGAAAGGTTGAGAAGCACAAAGCGAGGCTAGTTGTCAAAGGCTATAAGCAAAGACAAGGAATAAACTATGATGAAGTGTTTGCTCCAGTAGCAAGGATCGAGACCATCAGACTTCTCACAGCAGTTGCAGCACAAAAAGGATGGAAAATTTACCAGATGGATGTGAAGTCAGCATTTCTAAATGGCTACCTAGAAGAAGAAGTTTATATTGAGCAACCACCTGGATACATTAAAAAGGGACATGAAAACAAAGTTTACCGATTGAAAAAAGCTCTATATGGTCTGAAGCAAGCCCCAAGAGCATGGAATACGAGGATTGATGAATATTTCCAGAGAAATGGGTTCATGAAGAGTCCATACGAGCATGCCTTATACACAAAGAAAAATGAAGATGGTGATATCATGACCGTGTGCTTATATGTGGACGACATGATTTTCACAGGAAATAATCCAGGTATGTTCAATGATTTTAAGAAAGCTATGACTAAAGAATTTGAAATGACAGATATTGGAGAAATGTCATACTTTCTTGGAGTTGAAGTGAAGCAAATGCAAGAAGGAATATTTATATCACAAAAGAAGTATGCAGAAGAAATTTTAAGAAAATTCAGAATGGAAGATTGCAAGCCGGTAGCCACTCCAGTAGAACCAATAATCAAATTAAGTGTGAATTCAACAAGAGAGTAAGTGAATCCGACGTTGTTTAAAAGCATCGTTGGAAGTCTAAGGTATCTAACTATCACACGACCAGACATAACATACGCTGTAGGATTGGTAAGCAGATTCATGGAGAATCCGAAACAAGATCATTGGATTGCAGCAAAAAGAATCCTCAGATATGTCAAAGGTACAACAGGTCATGGCTTATTCTACACGGGATCAGAAAATTTGAAGCTGGTCGGTTATTCTGATAGTGATTATGGGGGAGACTTAGACGATCGAAAAAGCACAACTGGATATCTCTTTCATATCGGCTCTGCAGCATTTTCATGGTCATCAAAGAAGCAACAAACGGTAGCTCTTTCAACATGTGAAGCAGAATACATAGCCGCAGTAGCGTGCACTTGCCAAGCAATGTGGTTAAAGAATATTTTGAACGAGCTAAATGTGGCACAAAGCAGAATACATAGCCGCAGTAGCGTGCACTTGCCAAGCAATGTGGTTAAAGAATATTTTGAACGAGCTAAATGTGGCACAAGAAGAACCAATTACAATCTATGTCGACAACAAGTCTACAATTTCTCTTTCCAAGAATCCAGTCTCTCATAGCCGAAGCAAGCATATTGATACAAAATATCACTTTATACGAGAGCAGGTGAAGAACAAAAATGTGGAGCTAATTTACTACAGAACTGAAGATCAAATAGCAGACATTTTCACAAAACCATTGAGAGGAGATATATTCAACCGACTCAAAGAAAAGCTTGGAATGGAAAATCGAGTTTGAAGGGGAGTGTTAAAGACAAACTCAATTATTAAAGAAAACAAATGTAGCAACATAAAGATGTGAAATCTTATCCAATCTTGAAACGTGGACCAATTTGGAGAAACAAACAAGAGCAAGATATTTTGAAAGTTTAGGCAGCATGCTAATGAAGCATTTCAACGTGGAGAAACTTCATGAATTATTAATATTATAATATAAGATAACAACAAAACATAAGGCGGCAAGAGGAATTGAGAATCATCCAGAGCAAGTCTTAGGCGGTTTAAGTCTCCTATAAATATGTGTGTTTTAGGTCCAAGTTGTGTGTGAGTAGTGAGAAAAAGAATAACGAGTAAGAGAAAGAAAAATTAGAGAGAATTGTGAGAAAGCTTAGCAAAGCTATATTTGTGAGTTTGTAAAATAGCAACAGTTAGTATTGCAGTATTGTAATATTGAGAGTGTTGTTATAAAATATTTTGTTTCGTATCAATAAAAAGTTCGAGTTATAAATTACCGAGAGCCTATCTACGCTTCCAACACACTCACGGAAACGACAAATAAGAGAGAAATGAGACACTCAGACCTGAAAAAGATTGATAGAGGGGTGAGTCGGCATTTTCATGATGATATCACAGTCATAGTTGTGTTTATAAACCCCCATTTGATCAATGGGAGCTCCCCCTACTCTTCCCCATTATCGATAAATGGCGGAGGACTGGCTGTTGATAGTGGTGATGTCGTCTCATAGGCAGCAAAGATTGGAGCTAAATTTTTCAAAATTTATCCTCCATAGCCATGAGAAAGAAGGAACTTTCCTTCGTTTAGTAAAACATTATCAATAGGATAATAGTAGGGTTTAATACACTTTTTAGTGCTTAAACTATACCTCAAAATACGGTATCTAAAGAATTTTTCGTGAAACGTTAGGAACATTACGTTTTTAGGTGTCTGAACCGTAATAACAGTTAAATTTTATTATTATCCGACACGTGTTACGCATACAAAATTTAAAAATTATTTAATTTAAAAAAACTTAATATTGTAATTTAAAAAAAAAACCAAAAAACCCCAAAATTTACATCTTTCGCCGTTGATCGGCCACCATCGGTTCATGGCCATTATTGTTGACACCGTCAGAGTCGTTTCGCCGTTGCGACCAAAACCCAATCCCCCCTCACCATGTAATTGTGTCGATCATCGTGAAACCCCCCGCAAAAGATCGTCTAATTTCTAAATTTCCGTTGTTATTTTCCGACGATTTCAACAGCTACAGTCTTTCGTACGTTACATGACCACCACCGTTGAGTTTCTTGTCCTGCTCCAAACAAAACTCGACCAGTGATGACCCTTCGCCGTCGAAGGTGTGAACACCGGAGGGAAAGGGACGACGTGGGGGTTGATTTAGTTTTTTTAGTTTTTTTTCTTTTCTTAAAAAACAATATTTTTATTATTAAAAAAATTAAAAAATATTAGATACCTATTTTAAGCAAAGAATTATTTAGGATAATCGTATTTTGATATATAATTAAAGCCCTAAAAACTGTTTTAAACCTAATAATAATGGTATTGATCTCTATACCAGGCATAAGTCATCTATTTAGTCAAAGGAAACGTAACAATAAGAGGTGTGCATTCTTTTAATTACTTTTTTGCACTTAATCCAATCTCCATCATTTAATTGTCTAAGTGTCGACATTACTTTTGAAAGGTGATGTTAAAAGATGTTATATAAAAATACTTTTAAAGATATTTTTAAAAATATATGGTTTAAAATTAACTATTTGAGATTATTATTAAAAAGTGATTTTGAAAAGAAAAATATTCATTTAGATTATTGTAAACTTAAAATATAATATTTAAATTATATTTACACTTATTAATAATATAATATTTGAAATATATCAACTTAAACTATAATAAAAATATAAAAAATATTTTAAGATAACTCATCAATAATATTTTTATATATAAAAATACTAAAACATAATTACAAAGGTATAAATATGTGTTTATTTTGATATATTAATATAAAATATATTTATTTTTATATATTAAGATATTAAAAAAACATACATATTTATACCAAAATAAATATATGTTTATTTTTGAGTATTAAGATATTGAGAAATATACACAAGTTAATTTTGCATAGCAACCTCCCCACCGTAATGATGTGAGGAAGAAAGAAACTTCTTGATTATAACTTTTATTACTGGTAAGATAGAACAACCCCACCCAAACGTAATAGAGCTTTTCAACCTCAAAAGCTTCAAAATCCCAATTTTTGGGTTTAGGTCTCAAATCCCGTTTGAAACGTCAGTTAAAATCGCATTTGTTTGGGATTGCTTCTGCTAAATAAATGGTTTTAAGCTGTCAAACAATCCAAAACGAGGCCTAAATTCCGGTAATTAATATTTCCTAGCATGCAAATGTTTCTTTCTTCTCACTTCTATAGAATTTTCTATCCTTCTCATAGAGGATTATTTATCAACTAAACTAAAATTATGCCCAAAAAAAAAAAACAAAGCTCGTGGAGGTTTAACAAAACGTTAGACAATTTAATTCCCCCAATTTAACCGGTCTCCCGTTACCGTAAAAGTATATCCAACCAAAAAACAGATTCCAAAGAAGCTCCTACTGTTAATTTGTAGTGAACCAAAAATACATATTACATGACTAACAAAAACACCGAGAAAACATTACACAGCCTTCATTCCCAGCATATATATTTACCTTGCAGATCAGTGAATTCACAAGGTCAGACCGAGGGAAGCTAGCACTCACCTAAAACCTGTTCACTTATCTCAAACCAGAAAAAAATCAGAAATTCTGTAGTAGGCGGAGCAAAAGTTTTAGCTTTTGGATCAAACAATCTCATCATCCATTGAATATATTCACCGCAGACCATTGTCAAACTATAAAACCATTCCCAATTTTCAGCATTTCTCTCATGATAGAATGCTGAACAGCAGTAGTAACATATATACGAACGAATAGCATCATACAGATAATTTTGTGAAAAGAAAGATACTAGTAACTAATTATGTTCAACTTAATACAATCTGAACCATGTGTATGATGACACATAGCAGAGATATGCACACAAACATGCAAACAGAAGCATTCTAGTCCACAAGCCAAGCACATCAAGAACAATGCATGCTCATGCACATATCCATCAAAAGGTTATATTTCCTTTTCTTTCTTACGAGGAGGAAAATATGTCATATCTATCTAAAAGGAGCAAATATAACAAGATGACAATCATATCAAAAGAGAAAAAAAACTAACTAAACAAAGAGTTAACTCACTTTTTAATCTTAAATGCAGAAAATGAAGCTATCAATGCTTGTTCAGATCAAAAGCATCGATGAACTATGATTTACCATTTATCCTATAGCCAAGGACCCCCCTCCCTCCTCCAAAAAAGAAAAGAAAAGGAACCTACAAACCCCAACATACAAAAGGCAAAGCAAGAATAGAAATTCCTCCTGCATTTCAAGCTAGACAGACAAAGAATTCCTATAAAGCCAGGGACATAGATGTTAGACTCAATATGAATTACTACTGCTGTCTCACACATGATCACATGATGCAACTTAGAACATCATAAACTGCTTCCATAATTTTTCCTTTAAAAAGGACCAAATCAATTAACTTTTTTTAATAGGAAACTACTTACCACTCAATACTTTCTCATTTATATTATCGAAAGGGAAAGGTTGAAAATATTTTGACACTACTTCAGAATTTCTAATGCTCTTTGTAAGATTTGAGACAGGTTAACACTACAGGTGGTTGCTGATTCCTCTAGGTCTCACCAAATGAATAAAAACCATAGCTGTGCCTGAAATGAGAAGAAAGAAAAACACCTTCCATACTGCAGAAAGAGTTCACTACTTTAGAATTTATTTGGGGATGAAGGAATGCTGCATCTAAGAATTCTGAGGTTGGAAAGAAAGCATTGTAAAGAAGCCGTTGAGGGAATCACAAGCTGTTAGAACATTAGACCTGACAAGAAAAAAGAAAGCAACAATGTAAAATATAAATCATTGATAAATAAATCAATAATATGAATAGACATATCTAAACAAGTATATCTGTGTGCATAGTTGTATATATACAAGATTAAAGCAATGCATATCTCCAACGATACCATCTAACTATGTGGCAATTTCTAGTTAGATTTCTCCACCAGCCTTTCCATCAATAGGAGCCTCCTGAAAAAGGGGGAAGGGGGGCGAGGGGAATACATAAATCAGCATCTCAGACAGCACCTTTAAAATACTTGAATTCGCCTATCAAAGCAATTTGTCAGGAAAACAACAAGGCCTTACTAGCTCAAGATTTCCCTTGCCATTCTCCTGTGATAAAGAACTAGAAGCAGGATTCGAAAACCTGGAAAGACCAGAAAATATAAAATTTTCAATTTCAAGCATAAACCTATTAAATAAAGATTTTTGAAGAATTATATATCTCTAAAAATGTAGGAAACAGTTCTTTAGCATTGGAACATACCTGATTGCCCTTGCTTTTCTTTTTTCTTCTTCTACTGAATCAGGTTTGGAATATGGTGCAAATCTGGCATGACGAGCTTCCTTCTTCTCCTCATCAGTAGCTGTAGCGGGTGCAGTAATCCCGAACCTGAGAACCACAAAAATAAATAAAACAAACTTATAAATACAACTGCAAGATAGATATCACTAGGTAAATATAGTATGGGAAAAAAAACCTCTCTGATCTAGCCTTCCTCTTCAATTCCTCTGATTGCTTAGATGCTTCTGATCCATTTGAGCTCGGTGCAGTGCCAAACCTACAATATTATTGGCCCTCAATCATCAAGTTACAAACACATGGAGAAGTCAAGAAATGGCATTCATCATCAACAACTGCACCTTTATCATCAAGAAATCTCTTCCAGTATAACAGAATAAGGAGTCATAAGATTTCTCTCTAATCAAATACAAGTAGATATCTAAATATTTACTTATTCTGCCAAACTTTCCTAGGCTCCAATCCAACATGCAGACATGCTTAGTAAGGTAACTAGGTAAGGTTATGATGGGTTAAACTCGCCTCTCGAGAAATAATGGATAAATTGGCTAAATTTAAGACAACCATTTTGAAAATTATGAGCTATTAAGAGATCCTAAATAACATAGATCGAGATCTTAAAGTGGATAAAATTCAAGAGCATTAACCTAAGCTTATAAGAGTACAAAAATTGCAGTTAAAGAAAATTATCAAGATAGTCGTTTTCAGAAATAAATCAAATAAAAGAACAAAAAATATCCAATTAACACCAGATAAACCCTAAATTTACACAAAGAAAAAAGGGGGAAATAAAAGATGTTACCTTTCAGCCCTAGAATTACGCTTCTCTTGCTCAGATAACTGGACGGGTAAGCCGAATCGCTCAGCTCGTCGAATCTTCTTCTGGACATCGTCCACGGGACCGCCGCTTTCCCCTGCAACCAAGGCCGCAGCAGTACCGGAGGTTTTCGAATCCTCGCTCTCCTTCACAGAAAGTTCAGCATCGGGATGAGTGAGATTGCTAGGAGGGTCTGACTTGTACGTTGAAGGTGAGGGTGCGTCAACGGTCTTCCCAGGGTTTGCTTCTGCGGTGGAGGCGCTGGGTTTGTCGGTGGTGGATGCCATAAGAGTGATAGGTAGGGTCGCGTGAAGAAAACGTACGAGCTGAAACCTAATAGCGTGAGGCGGTGATATGTTTTTCTTGATGGCTTTCAAAGGAAGAAAGAATTGATATATATCTTTGAAAACAAATGCAGGAAGTCAGAAATGACATAATTTTACTTGGTTTGAAATTAATAGTATAGATAATGATGAAGATGAATTTATAGATGAGATTCGAGGTGAACTTTTAAAAAAGTTACAAGAAAAATGATCATTTGTAAGCTTAATCTTAGGCTAAAGTACACTAGTGGTCCTCCGACTATAGGTATTGTTTTATTGAATCTTCTGACTATTAAAAATTACAAAACGATCTTCTGACTATAAAATGTTGCTTTGATGACTCTCCGACTATTAAAAGTTTAAAATAGTCACCAACTATTTATATGTTCTAAAATCATTATTTTTCGTTAAAAAATTGATATTTTTCTGAGATGGACGTTAACATATTGACTGAGATATGATAAAATTATATTTTATTGATATCTATTGACATCGTCGTTGCTTTCAAGCACTGACTCGCCATCATAATGTTTCAAGCACTAACTTGACGATATAATATAAATGAAGATTCAATCCATAAAATACAACTAAAACAATTTTAGGATCATATTTTATCATATCTCAGTTAACATGTTAACATCCATCTTAGATAATGTAACCCCCTAGACCCGGCCTATGCGTTTCGACTAAGTTTAGTGGATCACATTATGATTATTAAATACATTTTTCGAAACTGTTATTTCATCAATATAAAATCACATTATAATAACCTGAAATTATAAACATCAAAATCCAACTCGTAAATATAGTACCAATAAATAATAATTTAATTTAAAACATGTCTTCAAATTCAATATCAGAATAAACCGAGCAGTATTAGCAAAAGAGTTATCATTATAAAATCTGATATTTTAAAATGAGGTCCATGTCACCAAAATAAAGTCAACTTGCCAGATAAAAACATTACAATCTGATTTACTTCAAGAGATATGTTAATCCTCCAAGTGCTCGAACCAAAGTATCTAACCAACAGTATCTGAAAGGGGAAAACATTTTCAAAAGGTGAGCTAGGTTCAGTGTGTCCCAACATTTCCATAAAATCACAATAGGTACAAATCATAGTCCAGTAATCTCACAAATTCGTAAAAGAGTTTAACTTTTTGAAAATCATAGTTTAAACCCTTTTCCGGTACACCATCAGTAGTTCCCAAAATTATTTTCCATATAGCTTACTTTATGCACATAGCAAAAAGAAAGCCGACTTAAGGATAGGCTCTGAAGCTTGTATCCTTAAGCCCAAGTCAATAAGTCCATATAGCTTACCCTAAGCACACAGCAAAGGAAAGCCGACCTAATGAAACATCTTGGGGCCCTTAAGAGTCACATTAGGCCCAGTTAGCTTGATCAGAGCTATTCTATCGTAATTCAATTCCAAAATTCAATTGCACCGTGACACAAATTCCATAAATCCAAAAACATGGTAATCATATACCAGTTCAAAACAAAAATTAGATAGCAGCCATAATCCATAAATTGTCACATTAAATTGGTGCATCAATAAAACAATAACCAATGAATTCGGTGTACCACATATTAAAACCAATAAAACAGTTCAGTAATAAGTAGGGAACACACCTCGACAATAGATTCAAATAACAAATCTACTGATTGTTGGTTTCACCACGCTCTGCTACAGTTTTCGAACGGGTGAATACTGGTACACGTGGTTTAACTGATCTAGAAGAGCTGGGTCGAGCTGTCGAACGATCCAGAGAGTCTCTTGTACCTTCAAACAATAATATTTATCAGTCCCAAATCCTATTTAATTGTTCAAAGCTAAACTTCTTAAGTATATAAGCATTTTTCGGGTTTGACTATCAATTTGAGGTATTTCAAGTCTGAATTTGGCCAAACGGATTGCGGAATCGGAATCAGGGCGTCGAAAAACATAAAGTATGACTTTTCGAAAATTCAAAATCTTGGTCAAAGTCAAAGTCAACCACTTTGACCGTAGATTTGGAGACCTTCGGATTCGAATTTGACAAAACAGATCACGGAAACGGATTCGGCACGTCGAAAACTATCAGGATAGGTATACTTGGAAAAGATTAACGGTCGTTTAATGCTCGGTCAAAGCCATTTTAAGTTTTGGTCAAAGAAAGTCAACGGTCAACGGTCAACGGTCAACGGTCGGGTCGGGTCAACGGTCGGGTCGGGTCGGGTCAACGGTCGGGTCGGGTCGGGTCAACGGTCGAGTCGGGTCAGACCGGTCAAACCGGTTCAGACCGATCAAGCCGGTTCAGACCGGGTCAAACCGGTTCGAACCGGTTGAAACCGGTCAAACCGGTCAGAACCGGTTGAAAACCGGTTAAACCGGTTTCCAACAGTCACTCGCCCTGCGGCGGCGCGTGTGGCGCGTGAGGCGTCCTCCGGGGCCCTAAAAATCCCGGAAAAATTTCTAAAAATTATTTTGAGCGATTTCAAGATACTTACAATGATCGGTTCAAATTTTTGAACGGCGGAGAGCTCGATTTCAAATTGGCCGAATCTTTGACTGCACCACCTCCTCACGCGCCGCCGTCTACGGCGGACAAGGTTGACACCGGTGAACTCGGAACGGCACAAGGAACACGATGGTGCGGGAGGTGTCGTAAACGGAGCAACGATCAGCGGTGAATTTAAGATTTCCTCGGCGATAGAGCTAACAAAACCGTCGCTACTTTGACTGGAAATTCCCGACGTTTGGTCGCGTTTCGCTTCAATTAATTTGAAGGGTTTGTTCAACGCTCGATGATGAACACAACGGTGGTTTTAAAACGATGATCGGAATTTGGACGGCGTCGGAATCGGAGTTGGAAACTGCGTATGGGAAAGGAAAATTGGGAGCATTTTGGTTCTGAAAATCAGAACCAAATGTACGCTTATAATCAAAGCTGCCGACAGTTTTAGGGTAAATTCAAGGTTTGGTCCTTGGATTTCCTTCACTTCTAAAATGGCCTATAAACTCTCATAAATTTTGATTTAGTCACCAACAATTTACCAATTTTCACCATTAACCTCCAATTTCAATTAAATATTATTTTGTAAATATTCGGGTTGTTACAATTCTCCCCCTCTACAAGAAATTTCGTCCTCGAAATTTACCTTATGAGAATAGTTGAGGAAACTGAGCCTCCATTGACTCCAATGTCTCCCAAGTAGCTTCTGAAGGGCCTCGATTACTCCACTGAACTTTGACCATTGGAATTCGTCTATTCCGAAGAACTCGTTCATCTCTCTCCAAGATCTGAATGGGCTCCTCTTCATATGACAAATCAGGTCTCAACTCTACTTCTTCAACCTGAATAATGTGACCTGGATCTGGACGGTATCTCCTCAACATTGATACATAAAGACATCATGAATACGACTTAGCTCAGAAGGCAACTCAAGCTGATATGCAACAGGTCCTACCCTCTTCAAGATACGAAATGGTCCAATAAATCTTGGACTCAATTTACCCTTACGCCCGAATCTCAATACTTTCTTCCAGGGTGAAACTTTCAAAAAGACCCGATCTCCCACTTCAAACTGTATATCCTTCCTTCTTTGATCTGCATAAGATTTCTGCCTATCAAATGCCTCTTTCAGACGGTCACGGATTAATCTGACTGTGTCCTCCGTCTCTCGCACTAACTCAGGTCCCAACGTTTTCCTATCACGCAACTCAGTCCAACAGATCGGAGTGCGACATTTACGCCCATAGAGCGCTTCATAGGGTGCCATACGAATGCTGGTCTGATAACTGTTATTGTAAGCAAATTCAGCCAACGGCAAAAGTTCTCCCAACTACCATGAAAATCGATTACACAACCCCGCAACATATCCTCCAGAATCTGAATTACTCTCTCAGATTGACCATCAGTTTGTGGATGAAAGGATGTATTATAATCCAATCTTGTTCCCAAAGCCGTATGTAACGCCTTCCAAAATCTCGAAGTAAATCTCGGATCTCGATCAGAAATAATAGACAATGGAACACCATGCAATCTGACAATCTCTGAAATATACAATCTTGCCAGCTTATCCAAAGTATAATTTACTCGCACAGGAATGAAGTGAGATGACTTTGTAAGTCTGTCAACAATCACCCAAACTGAATCTTTTTTCGAAGGAGTCATAGGCAAGCCAGTAACAAAATCCATAGTAATACGCTCCCATTTCCATTCAGGAATCTTGATAGGCTGTAACAAACCTGATGGATGTTGATGTTCTGCCTTAACTTGCTGACAAGTCAAACACCTAACCACAAAGTCAGATATGTCTTTCTTCATACCAATCCAATAATACCTCTCTCTCAAATTTCGGTACATCTTATCTCCTCCGGGGTGCATAGCATATGGACTACTATGAGCCTCAGTAAGGATAGTCTGCCTCAACTCAGCATCATCAGGCACACAATATCTACCTTTAAAGCATAAAACTTCATCCTGATCAATTGCGTAATCTGAGTTTGTCCCCTGCTCTACTTGCTCAAAGATGGAAAGCAAGGAGCTATCAAGGGGCTGCTTAGCTTTGATATCATCAACCAAGGTCGGCTTAACTTGCAATTCTGCTAACAAAGTGCCATCGTCATATAACTTCATCTTGGCCATTAAAGACCTCAACTCCGATACCGTCTTTCGACTCAAAGCATCTGCTACAATGTTAGCTTTACCAGAGTGGTAATCAATCACGCAATCATAATCCTTTAGAAGCTCTAACCAGCGACGTTGTCTCAAATTAAGTTCCTTCTGGGTCATAAGATACTTTAAGCTCTTATGATCTGTGAAAATGTAACACTTCTCTCCATAAAGATAGTGTCTCCAAATCTTCAAGGCAAAAATTACTGCTGCCAACTCTAAATCATGAGTAGGATAGTTACTCTCATACGGCCGCAGCTGACGGGATGCATAAGCCACCACCTTACTTTCCTGCATTAAAACACAACCAAGTCCTGAATGTGAAGCATCACTATACACTGTAAAATCCTTCCCGGACTCTGGTTGAATCAACACCGGTGCTTGAGTCAAAACCGCCTTTAATTTCTCAAAGCTCTCCTGTTGTGCCTCGCCCCAGTCAAACA